CACTCTGCCTCTGATGGGAAGACTTGCAGAGGGTGTGGAATCAGAGGTGATTAAGAATGGGGCCAGAGGCACTTGGGTGGCTCTGTTGGTTAAGCGTCCAACTTCAGCTCAGGTCATGATCTCACAGTTTGTGGGTTTGAATCCCATGTTGGGTTCTGTGCTGACAGTGTGGAGCTTGAAGCCTGCTTTGGATTCTGTGTCTCCTTCTCTCTCTGCCCCTTCCCTGCTCACACTCTGTCTCTCTCTGTCTCTCAAAAATAAATAAACACTGAAAAAAAATTTTTTTAATAAAAAAAAAAAAATGGGGCCAGAGGGGCTCCTTGGCTCAATGGGTTGAGCATCCGACTCTTGGTTTTGGCTCAGGTCGTGATCTTATGGTTTGTGTGTTTGAGCCCCATATTGGGCTCCATACTGACAGTGCAGAGCCTGCCTAGAATTGCCTCTCTCTCTCTTCCTCTCTCTCTAAATAAACTTAAAAAAAAAAAAAAAATGGGACCAGAGATTTAAACCCTCACCTTTACATGGCTAAATCCTACCTGCTCTTTAAGCTTCATGGCTCAATTCAAATTCTGTCTCCCTTATGGGCTGCGTAATCTTTCAACCAAAAGAAATTGTTCCTTTTTCTAAAATCTTATTTTATTTCATATCTCTCATAAGAGATGTATTACTTCCTACTTGTATCCATTAAGTACCTCTTTCTACGATGGAAAGTCCTATGACACAGACCTTTGGCTAATGCATCTTTATATCTTCAATGTATGTGTATCTAAAGACTAGTAAAAATTTTTGTTTTTGTTTTTGTTTTTTTAATTTGAGAGAGAGAGAATGCAAGTGGGGGGAGGATTATATTGGGGAGAGAGAGACAGAGACAGAGAGAGAGACAGAATCCTAAGCAAGCTTCATGCTCAGTGCAGGGTCTGATGTGGGACTTGATCTCACAACTGTTGAGATCACAACCTAAACCAAACTCAAGAGTTGGATGCTCAACCAACTGAGCAACCCAGGCGCCCCAGTAGTAAAAGTTTTAAATGAGAAGAGACTATAGATTTTTTGTTCATTTTGGTAAAATATACATAATATAAAATTTAGCACTTTTTTAAAATTTAAAAAAAAATTTTTAATGTTTACTTTTGAAGGAGAGAGACAGAGACAGAGTGTGAGCAGGGGAGGGGCAGAGAGAGGGAAACACAGAATCTGAAGCAGATTCCAGGCTCCAAGCTGTCAGCACAGAGCCTGACGTGGGGTTCAAACCCATGAACTGTGAGATCACGACCTGAGCCAAAGTCAGATGCTTAACTGACTGAGCCACTCATGTAGCCCTGAAATTTACCTTTTTTTTTTTTTTAATGTTTTATTTATTTCTAGGAGAGAGAGAGAGAGAGAGACAGCGTGAGCAGGGGAGGGTCAGAGAGAGAGGGAGTCACAGACTCTGAAACAGGCTCCAGACTCTGAGCTGGCAGTCAGCACAGAGCCGGACGCGGGGCTCGAACCCACGAACCGCGAGATCATGACCTAAGTGAAAGTCGGACGCTCAACCGACTAAGCCACCCAGGCGCCCCTGAAATTTACCATTTTTAAGTGTATATAGTTCTGTGGCATTTGGTACATTCACACGTGCTACAGATTTGTTTTTAATGATTTTAATCTGACTTCTCACTTGCATGGGACCTGCATACTTTTTCTGGAAGGAATTCTTTGATGTGGATTTGTGAAGGAGAGAGTTCTCTCTCACTCGCTTTCTCTCTCCCTCCCCATTCCCTTTCTGTCTGGCTTTTTTTTTTGGCTTTTTTTAGAGCAGATATTCTTTGCAGACAGTTGTCAATTTATTCTGTATTCAGATTCTTCCAAGCTTGCTACCATAGCTGAGGTACATATTTTGGATTACGACAATTTAACAGACCCCCCTATATTGTGAGTTGAAAATGGGCACAAGGCACAGAACAGAATGGAAATGGGGAAACAGTACATCCTGATGCCAATCTCAAAGTTTTGGCAGAATAACATTAACATGAATTTTTAGCTCTTCTTAAGGATGAAAAAATAGCTTCAAAATTCACATTCATCCTAATAAATGTTGAACGTATAAACAGTTTTAGTTTATGTTTATGGAAGAGCTTGTTCAGAATTCTTTCTGAAGATTAGTACAGAGAATTCATGTTCTTTGAAAGAAAACGTTGGATATAAATGATGATTTCCAATGAAGTAGAAAAATAGAGGATTGTTATTTGTGGTAGAATTTTCTTCAATCTCATCCGTTTTCCTGTTATTGACAGTCTTTACTATGTTCCAAGTTCCTTGGCAAATTTTCTTGATACCCATTATTGTAGAATCTTGTGATGCTTTATGGGCATTAGGTGTCAAAAGGGCCTAAAGGCTAAAGTGGTAGGAACATTTCTTATAATTCAAAGATTGAGACGTGCTATAGTGGGGCTGTGTGTGTGCATGTGTATTAGATTTCAAGCATGTAATCTTTGGAGAGTCCAAATCAGTTAATTATTAATTAAGCACATGAATTGGAGATTAGAAATCTGGTTTATCTTTCTGATACTTTTTAAAAAATGTTTATTTATTTATTTTGAGAAAGAGTGCAGGCAGGGAAGGGGCAGAGAGAGGAAGAGACAGAATCCCAAGCAGGCTCCATGCCATCAGCTCATAGCCTGATGTGTCGGAGCAAGACCATGACCTAAGCTGAGATCAACAGTTGGATGCTTAACTGACTAAGCCACCCAGGCGCCCCTACCTTTCTGATTCTTTGAATGTATTATTAGACTAAGACCTTCTACCCATGTTTTAGCTTCCCTCTCTTGAAAGATATTGAGATAAAATACTAGTGATAGAAAAAAAAAATGTGTGCTCATGTGAATAACTGCATCCTACTTATCACATGATAATCAGTTTCTATCTTAAAATATCCAATGTAATGTGGACTCTCTAATTAAAGTTTAATAATCCCTCTAATTAATGTTTAAATTGATTTTTTAAAACTCTAGGTCTACTTGTGATAATTTTTTCTTCACTTCTTAAATTTTTTTTTACTATTTATTTATTTTTGAGAGAGAGAGAGACAGAGCATGACCAGGGGAGGGGCAGAGAGAGATGGAAACTTAGAATCCCAAGCAGCCTCCAGGCTGTGAGCTGTCAGCACAGAGCCCAATGCAGGGCTCGAAGTCACAAACTATGAGATCATGCCCTGAGCCGAAGTTGGACACTTAACCGACTGAGCCACCCACGTGCCCCGTCTTAACTTTTTAATTGGTAACCAGCATTTTCCTCTTCAACTGTGGCCAAAACAGCCATATGAGAAACCTCTGCCTTGTTGACAGTGAAGCAATTAACTTAAGTGGGTTCAGGCCTACAAGTCATCTCCCATGGTGCCTGGGGCATAAGATATGCCCAGTAAATGCTAGATCTTGCCCATATATTTGAAATCAGTGTCACTTGCAGTTGCTCCAGATCTTGAGGAAGAGTATAAGGGCTTGGTGTTGGCTCCTTGGAAAGGAGAGTGCACCAGGCCCAGCAGACACTAATCATCCCCTGGGCATTTGTCAGAAGAAGACTGAGCAAGAAAGCTCTCATCCATATAGAGAGGACTCTCTTTAGCCATTGTTCCAGAATTTTATTTATATCACAGACAACAGAATCAATGAGGTGGAAAGTAAGATTCAAATCTTAACAGAGTTGGTTACTGTGTCCACTGAATCTCTGCTCGGTGTCATATGTTTTAGAGATAAAGGAGTGTAGGAAGGAGGCAGCTTTTACTTGTCCTCAGGGAGGAGCTCAAAGCAAAGGTGACCATATGTCCCAGTTTGCCTGCCAAATTATGCAATGAAGCTACTAACATGAAAGACAGGTATTATGAAACAAGAAGCGTAAGTTGGGGTCACCTGACTAGCCTGGAGGTGGCAAGAGAAGATCTCTCTAAAGAAATGACTCTCCATGGGAAACCTAAGCATCAGAAAGAGGGATTGATGGAAAAGGTCCTGCTCTCACTTGCCTCAGGGTCTTCGCACGTGGCCTTTACCCCGTTCTGGGGGCAGGGGGGGGGCGTACTCCCATTCCTCTCTCCTGCTGCTGCCCAGTATTACTGTTACAAGTAGAAAAAATGTTTTACAAACAGCAGGTAGCAGTCCATGAGTCATAAAGTTAATTTAGTGAGTAGTAATCCAATTTAACAGACAAATACGTAAACATTAGATTTTTTTTTCTTAGCTACCACTTTGTTTTTAACTGTGATTAAATATGAAGGAAGGGTGCCTGGGTGGCTCAGTCAGCTTAGCATCTGACTCTTGATTTCGGCTCAGGTTGTGATCTCATGGTTTGTGAGTTTGAGCCCCACATCGGGCTCTGGGCTGACAGTGTGGAGCCTGCTTCGGATTCTCTGTCTCCCTTTTTCTCTGCCCCTCCCCTGCTCATGCTGTCTCTCTTAAAAATAAATAAACATTAAATATGAAGAAAACTTGGGGACTAGGATTGAATAAGAGCTTACCTTCAGAAGTTACTGTAAAGTTACCATAATGCTTTGTGGAGGAACTATGCACATTATGTAAGTTTATATGTGTTATGTACACATTTAAGAGATGTTTTAGTGACTTTTTTTTTTTTTTTTTTACCTCTGCTTCTTTAGGACTACATCTTGAAAAAAAAGGATGCCTTGTTTTGATGGCTATTATATAATTCCCAGAAGAAATAAAATAGGTTAGGAAAGAAGTACAGCTAATTTAATTTCTTTGTATTTGAAAGGAAGGTAACCACGACTCTCATGTTTTGTTTAAATGTCAGGCTGTTTCCACAGGAGGATATGATGCTGACATAACTCTGAGATGGTGAAGTAATGTCAGAACAGCTTTTTAAATAAATTGGCATGGAGCCCTTCAATCTTTCCTTCCCCTGCCCCCAAACATAATATTACTTGTCTGGCCACAGTGCATTGTTTTGAGGGTAGAAAATGTCCATGTGGAGTAACATTTCCACTTATTTCTGTTAATTTCCCTTCCCCTTAGGTTTCACCACCCCATCCTCAGTCCTTTGGAAAGCAGTTTCCAGCTGGAAGTTGACGTCCTGAGCCATCTGCTGAAGGCCCAGGCTCAGGTGTCCGAGTGGAAGTTCCTCCCATCTCTGGTGAACTTACACAGCGCTCACACCAAGCTGCAGACTTGGGGCCAGATCTTTGAAAAGCAGCGAGAGACCAAGAAACATCTGTTTGGAGGGCAGTCACAGAAGGCCGTGCAGCCCCCACACCTTTTCCTTTGGCTGATGAAACTCAAAAACATGCTTCTTGCCAAGTTTAGCTTTTACTTTCACGAGGCGCTGAGCCGACAAACTACTCCTTCAGAAATGAAAACGTTGACTGCAAAAGCCAACCCGGACTTCTTCGGAAAGATTTCTAGCTTCATCAGGAAGTACGACGCTGCCAATGTGTCCTTAATCTTTGACAACCGAGGTTCTGAGAGCTTTCAGGGTCACGGCTATCACCACCCCCATTCCTACAGAGAGGCCCCAAAGGGTGTGGACCAGTATCCAGCTGTGGTGTCTCTGCCCAGCGACAGGCCGGTCATGCACTGGCCCAATGTCATCATGATCATGACAGACCGCACGTCCGACCTGAACAGCTTGGAGAAAGTGGTCCACTTTTATGATGACAAAGTCCAGAGCACCTACTTCCTAACCCGCCCAGAACCTCACTTTACCATCGTTGTCATTTTTGAGTCAAAGAAATCTGAAAGGGACTCCCACTTTATTTCCTTCCTCAATGAGCTCTCACTTGCCCTTAAGAACCCCAAAGTTTTTGCAAGTCTGAAACCTGGCTCCAAAGGCTAGCAGGTGATTTGTGTGACAGGTTTTCAAGATTGGAAATTGTGTTCTTAATTGCTCTAATGATCTACTGTGGTCTGTGATTAGAGTTTCCATCCATCCATGCTTCTCCCAGAGCTAAATTAGAGACAAATCCTCCCTAATTGTGTCGCACACTTTATAAGCAATTAAGGCCAATTTGAATTAAGTATCCACAGAGTAATCTAGGAAGTGATTGTGGCTATCGTGTATAACTGTGGGACAGCAACGTACTTTCGGTATTTTCTCCTGTTTTCCTGTATTTCATGTAGACTGAATATTTATTGGCTTTTGATTTTTCTTTCCACATGTTTTATATTGTCCTAAACTTTCTGTTTTAATGCAATTCCAAATACTTTCTGCTTGCCCTTCCTTCTGGGATGAGTAATTGGGATAAGATATTAAATGGCCTTTTCAGAATCAAGGAGTGTACGTTTTCTATCTCATAAATTGGCAAAGTTAGCATAAAATTATTAGTGTTATGATTCTCATCAACAAATTAATATTTTGGATGCCAAGCTAGTGTCTTGGCAAAAAATATCCATCAGTTACTGAAATGAAAGGTGAACCAGAGTGCTCCCATTAACATCGGGGGTTTAACAGTTGAGAAGACCCTCAGAAACTTTAATGGTCACGGGTTCTGGGGTGATCTATACACCTAACTGCATTTCTTCTTATCCTTGTGAAGTTTGAAGTTCTCAGTCTGTTTGAAAGTTAGCACAAGTCATTACGTGGGGTCTCTTCATTCCTCAGTGTGTTATCTGCTTGGCTTTCTGTTTATCACCTTTCTGCTGAAATGCATGTTCATGTTTGACTCTGCTCCCTGCTTAATCTTAGGCTGGAAAGGCATGTGGGCTTTGTTTCTCAGCCACTTTTAGACATTCATGGGACTTAGCCTGCTTTTATAATATCAAAATGTTGGTCTCGATAGCTTGTGCTTGCTGAACATCAGTGGTGTATTCCAAAGACCCCTTCATACTTGAATAATCAGATGAGTACTTAAGCACATCAGAACTTGGGTTTCATGCCTGTCTCCTCCACATTATTTTTAGAATTAGTGACATATCTTAACACATGCCACCATAACACTTGGCTTCAGTAGGTGTTCCTGGGGAAGTAGACGGACCCCTGAAGGCATATTGGGCTGTGGAGAACTTCACTTCTAGGATATTGATTAAGAATAAAAGTAAGCTACCAAGAGTAATTGAGTTGTTACTATTTGATAGTTTCTTCAAAGCTCATGTGTGACATAATGATCAGATGGGTCCGTTTCTCATGATGGCACTAGCCATAGTTTTACTGGGCCGCCACAGCAGGCTGGCTGGTGACATGTGCAGAGCCGCTCCCAGTCTGGGCCAGGACTCAGCCCGCCTCTGTAAGGACTACCTGGTGGGGGAACCTACTGGCCCGTGTTCTTTTCTTTTCCTTCTTTTTCTTTTCTCAAAATAAAAGTCATATGATTTGTAAAAAGCCAGTTTGCTTTAAACAAAAAGTAGTGACTGACTTCTGTACTTAATTCACTCTGGTTCTCTAAAAATCTGAGCAACACTGAACTTGTATAAAAAACTGAAAGCAATTGGAACTAAAAAGTCAAGTCATTTTTCCTCACTTTTGAATTTTGCTGGGAAGCTGAAAAATATTCCTTGGTGTTCATGTATTTTGTTTCTCTAGATAAAAAACCACCATTAGCCTTAATGACATGGTCTCCCATGTACCTAAAAGAAACATGCTTTAGTGGAACATGGAGAAGAGTGTAAATAAAACAGATACTATGATATTTAAATAACCAGTCCTTGCCTGGGAAATGTATATTTCCTATATATTTGAAATGTATATTTATTTGTAAACATATTTTGGTTCAAGCCAAGAAACAAACTGATTCTACTCTGAGACTTGTCCTCTAAAACCAGTAATGAGATGATCTGGAAGTCTGTGTTTTGGTAATTGGAAGAGTAAAACCGCATATTCTCTGCTGACTTTTTTACTTTGAAATTGTTTCTGGGGCACCTGGGTGGCTCAGTTGGTTGACAGTCTGGCTTCTGCTCAGGTCATGATCTTTTAGTTTGTGAGTTTGAGCCCTGCGTCGGGCTCTGTGCTGACAGCTCAGAGCCTGGAACCTGCTTCAGATTCTGTGTCTCCCTCTCTCTCTGCCCCTCCCCCAGTCACTCTGTCTGTCTGTCTGTCTCTCAAAAATAAATAAACATTAACAAAATTTTAAAAGAAATTGTTTCTAAACCACAACTTGGTCAGTTTATGTGCGTAACCAGGAGTGTGGTCAATGCTTACTGAGGTTGCCAACAAACCCGTCAAGGAGTGTTCATTTTTGGACGCTGTTTGGACACAGGGTGAACATTCACAGCTTTGTCCTCCCGGGCCCAACCTGGTATCTGACTATTCCATCCTAGGGTTTTAGGGAGTGTGTGAAAAGGCAGCCCTTCCCCCTTATCTACAGTTTTGCTTACCTCGGTTTCACTTATCCATGGTCACCTGAGGCGTGGAAGCTGGAAGCCAATGCCCCTCCTCCTGATGAACCATCAGGAAGTCAGTAGCAGCCTATTGCTACATCACAGAGCTTGTGTCATTCACGCCATTTTCTCTCATTACATCAGCATTGTATCATCTCACATCATCATAGGAAGGGTGAGTACAGTGCAGTCAGATACTCTGAGAGAGAAATCACATTCACATAACTTGCATTACAGTACATTGTTACAATTGTTCTGTTTTATTACTAGCGTTAATTTCTTACTGTGCCTAATTTATAAGTTAAACTTTATCATAAGCATGTATGTACAGAGAAAATCATAGTATACACAGACCTTGGTCCTATATACAGTTTCCGACATCAGTTGGGTGTCTTCAATATACTTCTTGCAGACAAGAGGGGACTACTGTATAGCTTCTTAACTAAGAGCCAATACCCCCTAAATTATTGCTTTGTACACTTGAACACATTGTAGAAAATTTACTTACGAGAAAGAAAATGGTTGGAAACTCACTGCACTCCTGTAGAGTCACTCCTGTGATGTCTAAAATGTGTCCACCCTTCGTTCTAGCAGCAAACTTGCCTTTTTTTTTTTGCTTGTCAGTCTCTGAGCTTGACTTCCTTATCTGTAAAATGGGGATAAGAAAATGGCTGCCTTTTTAAAGAATATATAAGAATGGAGTGACATCATGCATGTAAAAAAGGCTTTGGAAGCTTACTTGGGTTTGAAAGCTGTATAAATAAAAGATAGACCACTCCTTCCTTAAACTCAATACCTCTCCTGTTCTCCTCTTTCTCTTCAGATCTGTGGTATAAGGGCGCCTAGTCATTATGTTTGAACAGTACTTAAAGAACTAGCTTAGAAGAGGAAGTTAAATGCCTAACCAACTCATCCTCCCTTCCCTCTCCTTATTTTAGAATCCTTGTGGTGCTTTGTTTCCAAGTTGTTATGCTTGGTTGATAGCACCATTCATTTCTATATTCTTACTGATATTTGAGGGGGGGGAGGGGATCTAGTTGCTCTTTTAATTACCAAGAGAGGTGTGTTAAAATCTCTAACAGTGATTGTAGAGGTCTTCCTTTATTTCTGTCAGCTTTTTGCCTTTCGTATATTGAAGCCCTTATTATTAGGCCCATATACATTTATAATTTTCCTTTCTCACATATCAACCATTTATCACTGTCAAGTTTCCCACTTTATCTCCATTACTATTCCTTGCTTTGAAGTACATCTTGCCTGATATTTTTATGACCCTTCCGGCTTGTTTCTGCAGACTGTTCACACAGTATGTCTTTTCCTATCCTCTCACTATTTGTACCTTTATTTTTAAAGTATCTATAGTAAGAAAGAGAGAATACTTATTAAAAAGAGCAATAGCTAACTGTGTGCTCGGCAGTTTGACCACCTCTGACTCTTGACTGAAGTGTTTAGTTCATTTCATGCCTATGCAGTTTTTACAGTCAGGACTTTGCTGATGGTATCCTTAAACTATCACTGCCATTCTTTTCTCTCTTTTGGTTTTTTTCTTTATGTTGGAAGTTAGATCAAGAGGTTTGATCAGATTTTTCTTTTTTTTCTTTCTTTCTTTCTTTCTTTCCTTCCTTCCTTCCTTCCTTCCTTCCTTTCTTTCTTTCTTTCTTTCTTTCTTTCTTTCTTTCTTTCTTTCTTTCTTTCTTTGTAGTGACTGTTGTGAATTTCATTTGGAGGGAGCTAATATCTGGCATTACCTGAATCAGCTATATCACTAGAGGTTACAACACAGTGATACTCTAATTATATCATTCCTTTTTCATTTGTTAGATGGAATACTTCTATGAGGAGAAGCTTTACATCGATTTAGTTATACTAAAGAACAGTTCCTATAGGAATTGTTGGATAAATGCTTGATTCTTTTGCCAGTTTTTATCTTAATTTTTTTAAGATTTAAGATTTTAAGATTTTTAAAGATTTTTAAAAATTTTACTTTATTAGGTTTTTCTTTTTCAAAGATTTTATTAAAGGTCTTCACAGAGCAAAATGCAGACTCCAGATCCAGCTCCACGGAGACCCTGTTAGGCTATGGGTACTGGCTGGGGCATGGCAGGCAGCTCTAGCTTCCCACCCTTCTGTTCCGAGATGGAGGTGCTGGGGAGCATCTCCTATTTCGGTTCCACAATGCTCACACGATCTGGCCGGGGGGTTCGTACCACTTGGTCAGACTTACCTCTTGGGTGTGACGGAAGCATGATCTTCCCTTTGACGCCCAGCACACCCTGTCTGAGCAGCACACGGCACTCAGCAGCGTCCGCGTACCAGTTACCAGGGTCCACATTGTGAATCATCAGGCCATCCACAAACTTCATGGTTTAACCCTCTGTCCTTGGGGTTTCCCGGACACCATGATGTCATAGCCTATGGCCCTCCTCTCCATGATGAACCGCAGCACACCACAGTGGTGAGGCCTCCCAGGAGCTTGTGATGCAGAGACTCTGCCTGGGACGTAGCACACAGACCTATGGTGGCCACCTTTTCAGTATAAAGCTCTACACTGCCCTCAGGGAAACCAAACCTGAACCACAACAGTCAGTTCTCAGATCCGACAGCCCTTTTCACCCTAGAACATTCTGCATCCTGGTGGCCAAGATCTTGATTTTTGTCCTGGTTGGTGTAACTTGGATCTCAACCCTGGAGAAGCCACTTTTCTCCAGCTCCTGAGTAAGGAACTTGTTCAGTTCAGCTTTGAAGGTGCCATCAGCGAAGGACTTCCTCTTCTTGGAAGTTTGCTCTGCTATCCTGCTGCTGCGCACCTCTGAAAGGAAGACAAGATTTTATTCTTTTTTTAAAAAAATATGCATTTGTAACTTTCTTTAAAAAATTTTTTTAAATGTTTTATTTATTTCTGAGAGACAGAGAGAGACAGTGTGAGCAGGGGAGGGTCAGAGAGAGAGGGAGACACAGA